CAGGGCCATCCTGTCTCCCTCTAGGAGGGGGGGTGGGGGGGGAACGGGCGGAAGGAAGAAGCATTCATTCTGCAGCTGAATGGCCCTCACAGCCTCTTAAGAGAAGGAGGCAGGCTCTTTTCTCCTCTGAGATAATCACTACGTACACTCCACATGGAGACAAACTGTGTCTTGTCCTCCAATCCCCAAAATGATTTCCTGCGGCCAGCGAGTGCACCGTCCAGATGACGACCAGCCCTTTAACTGGAACACAAAAATGAACGAGGGCAGTTCTTGTTCTAACTCAGGTGAGGGGGAGCTCGTGGGTGCGTCCCTGGGGAGAGCGGTCAGCTGGGGAGCCCAGGAGACCTCTGCCCTGGCGGCTGCTGGCACGTGTCCCCATTGGGTAGCCCATCGGGGTCTATGGAGAGCCACGCCCTGTCCATGTGCTGTCAGGGCAGGGCTGACACCCTCGGTCTCGTTCAAGGCACTGCCTGTGAGACCCAGGGTAGGGCACCCTCCTTCTCCAAGCTCAGCACCCTTGTCAGGGAAGTCTGGGTGTCCGCCACCCCCACGTCCTGGAATCCCTACGTGGAGGCGGCGTGAGAACCGGGGGCAGGGGAACACCGGGACAGGGGCTGTGCAGACGCCGCGCCACCCTAACTAACACTATTACCAGAACGTCTGCCGCATCCACCCACAACATTCTGGGTCCGTGAGCGACAGCTGGCCAGCTGGTCCCCTCCATCTCTGCTCAGCTGTCTTCCCGAGCCCAGGGCTGGACACACCGCGGGGACACAGCGCATGTTCCCAAACCGGAGGGAGAGAAGTGGATGAGTCCAGGGGTCATCAGGTCAGGCAGTAATCACTTCAGCCTCCTCCTCTGTAAAATGAAAGGCTAGATCTTTTGAGCGGAGAACACTTTCTCTAAGTAAACACCACTCAGAACTCCAGAATGCAGAACGGGCAGGGTGGGAGCTGCTTGTGCTCAAATCTAGAAGGAACTGGGAGTACCTTGAAGCAGCGGTCCCGGGTCTGCCCTGGGAACCCACTTTGAGAACCTCTGGTGTGAGGGACGGTGCCAGAAACCTGAGGCCCAACTGGCTTGGCCCCGAGCTCCCTCTTCCTTCCCCCACAGGAGGCTTCCGCGCCTGATGTGCGCTCTAGCTCTGCCATTTCTCGGTCCTCCTGGGTCCCACTCGCTGGCGGGGCTTCTGAGAAGACGCTGTAGCCATCCAGGAAGTTCCCAGCATGAAGCTGGGCCACGCGGGGTCTCCTTTAAAAGCTCTCTGATTGCTGAACCCGCAGGGTCTGGGCCTCCAGGGTCTGCCTCTGAATCCTCAGCCCCTAAGGCACGACCTTGGCGGGGGTGCAGGACGACGGAGGCTGACCCCCTGTCCTGGTCCCCCTTCAGGCCAGAGCTCACCGCACAGCAGCTCAGCAGAGGTCAGGAGGCAGGGCCTGCAGCCGGGAGACCCACATTTAATCCTGCCCCACCCCAGCCCGGCCAAGCCCTGACGAGGCTCTCTGAGGCCTGGTCTCCTTCATCCGCGACACGGCCTCCTCGTGCTGGCCCACTGACTCCCTAACCTGGCTGCCCATGTGTCCGAGCAGCGCGCGATGAAGACGTGTGCCTACGGACACTGGCATTTGGGACTGTCTGTTCCGCGAACGCACCCGAGAGCAGGCCAAAGCCGCACCGTCCCATGAGGCAGCGGCTAGCCACCTGGGACCATTTACGCTCAAGATTAACTAAAATGCAGTCAACTATAAATTCAGTTCCCCAGTTAGACTGGCTACACTTTGCGAGCTCACTAGTCCCACGTGGCTCGTGGCTACCATACTGAACAGCACAGGTGACAGATCATTTCCATCAGCACACAAAGTTCTGTGGGACAGTGCTTGGTGGAATACCAGTCAGGTCCCAAAAGCCACATCCCAGAAGGAAAGAGCCCAACGGAACCCCCACACCCAGGAGTTCCTGGTGGGACGCACAGGGCCCAGGGAGGGCCAGGGTTTGGAGTCACCCACTGACTTTCTCTCCATCCCTAGCAAACGTGGGACCCTCAGGTTCCAAGCCAGGCCACAGGGCCTCTGGAGCAAGCTTCTGAGCCATGAAATGGGGTTCCTCCTCCCCATCAAGCGCACCCTGGCCTCCCTCACACCGTAGGGAGCGGGTCACCGTCAGGTGGCAATGAGCACGCGGGGAGGTGCCTTCTCCACAGTCTGCAGACGGAAGGGCTCAGACCCAGCGTCCATGAATACTGCATGCTGCCCGCTTCCCAGAAAAGTCCAGCCAAATGTGGAGTCTATTCCAGGAGCAGCTTCTGCCCTGAATGCCTGCAGCCTTTCCTGTTTTGCGGAGCAGGACTGGACACGTGCGGAGAAGGCTGCCAGCCTCCTCTGCTCCAAGCTGTGCAGGGAGCTTCCCAGCCCCGTGAGGTGGCCCCTGAGCCGCGCAGCCCCCAGATCTGGAGTCCCCACTCTGTCCTATGCTTATCACACTAATAACCATCGCTTACATGTAAGTGCTTACTGGGAGCCAAGCATCTTACATTCACTGCCTCCTGTAACCCTTACAATAACCCCGAGGAACAGATACAACTGTTATCCCCATTTACACGTGCAGCTGGGCTTGTCCAAGGCCACTGAAGTGGAGGAGCCGGGGTCTGAACTCAGACCTGACACCAGGGTCTCCTACTTTACACGTTTGTCCCCAGCCACGCGGGACGTCGGGGAGGGCAGTGACCATGCCTCATGCCTCTCCATCTTCCCAGGGCTTAACTCAGCATTGCTGGATGTTTACTAAATATGTGAGTGAGCGGAGGAATAGAAGGACAGGAGGACTCAAGAGGGACCCCGCCACTGCCCCTCAAAGCCTCCAAAAGCCCCCTAGCACTCCCAGATCACAAAACCTGCCTACCTGCTCGGGGGGAGGGGGTTCTGCAGGACCAGATCCCCCGTGTGAGGCCCGACCGGGCAGAGGGCCCAACGTTTCTTACACGTGGTCCTGACACAAAGAGGCTTTCACGGAACCACAGCCTGCCAGAGCAGGAGAGGACCCTTGAGTCCACTCAAATCCAGCCTCTCATTTCACAGACTGAGGCCCAGAAAGACGAAGTGACTTGTCCAAGGTCACACAGCAAGGTCACCCAGTGACCGGTCCACACAGCAAGGCTCCCGTGGACGCAGGGGTAGGTGGGTGATGGGAGGGGCTGGGGGATCGGACACGGCGCTGCCACCTCTCCTGTGCAGGCAGACCTGGTGGGACGGTCTGGGGTGGGCAGCCCCACCCAGGGAAGCACCCACCCTCCGCCGGGGTCCTGAGTTCTGGGCTGCTCTGCCCAGGGAGGGAGGGGGCGGTGGAACTCAAAGCATAGGCCCAACAGATGGTTTCTATTTGCAGCCACTGAGCCCAGTCTGTGCCAGACTCCTGACCTATTTTGAGGATCCGAGGGCCCCACTGGCTCAGAGATGGCCTCCCACTCGTACCCCTTAACCCACAGTTTGGCAGGAGATCAGATGGGTGGTTCAGGGCCAGTGGAGAAGGGGAGTAGAGGAGGAAAACCTTTGAAAATGAGGCTAGGATGGATGTCCACAAGCTTGAACTCCGGAGAAGGGATCCTCAGAGTGTGAGCCCCAGGCTCCTGGTCTCAGCTTCCCCTGGGATGTTTGTGGAAATGCAGGTTCCTGGGCCCCACTTCACCTGCAGGCTCCCACTCTGGGAGGGGCCCGGGGAAGCTGCATCTGAACCCAGCTCCCAGGTGATTCCTGTGGTCCAGCGCACTGTCCATGGCCAGCAGCACTGGCATCTGGGAGCTGGTTAGAAATGCAGCATCTCAGGCGCCCGCGGGCTGGAGCGGCCTCTGCAGGTGGACGAGACCCCAGGCGACGCGCAGGCATGTCAGAGCTGAGAAACGCTGCCCCAGCTCAGTGCTCCCGGAACCCGAGCTTGCGTCAGAATCACCCGTGGCCTTGTTAAACACAGGTCGCTGGGCCTCACTCCCAGAGCTCCTGACTCAGGAAGCTGGGGGCCAGGGGCCTGGGAGTGCACACTTCTAACTAGGTGCCAGGGGAGCTGAAGTGCAAGCACTTACCAACTGTGATGTTCCCTCTCTTCCTCTTAGCAGTGCTCGTCCACCCAGAGGGGTTAGGCCTGCTAGAGCAGGAATCTGAACGACTCAGGCTCTGACGTCAAGTGTGGGTGTGCAGCCTCGCAGCAGTCTTAAGACTTAGAGGTTTCCTGACTCCGTCTCCCCCTGAGAGCAAGCGAAGAGGGTCTCCTGGCAGACTGGGCACCAGGAGTCCTGCTCAGACCCGATGTGGGGGAAGCCAGCTCCTGGCAGATGGGAAGACTGAGAAAGGGAAGTGCTGGTTCAGAAGCGTGCCCTGATCTCCACGCTCTGAGCCAGTCTCCACGGCGATGTGCGCAGGGAGGTTGTGGGTGGTACCGAGGGCGGAGCGCAGCAGGGTTTCTCTCCACCTCCTTGACCGGGATTCCAGAAGAAGGGAGAACACCACTCAGGATGGCCCTGGGCCATGCACGAGGCGGCCTCACTGAATTAGGATGGCTAAGGGGGTGGCCAGAGAGAGGGGCCCAGGCGTGCCCGCCAGCCTCCTTCAGCTCTCGACTGGTGGAGAAAACCCAGCCGTCAGGCCCTGCAGTCCCAGAGGGAGGGCGTGGAAGACCTAAAAGCCACTGTGGCACGAGGCTACCATGGTGAGAAGAAAGCCAACTGCAGCAGAGGCTGTGCGGAAGACAGGCCAGGGGCAAGATGGACAGAGACGAAGGCCCCGTGGATGGACCCCATCAGGGCCAAGGAAGAAGGGACATGAGCTTGTGTGCTGCAGACCTCAGTGGCAAACGACGGAAGAATGCCCTGGGAAGGGACAGACCAGCCACGCCTCAGTGGACGTCAGCCACGACACGTCCAAGGATCAGCGTGGAGCCGAGGCCCCCTGCCGCGACACCAGAGGGCATGTGAGCCCCAGCTGCCTGCATCCTCAGATGCCATTTTGAAAAAGAGCCAGAAGAGGGGGAAGAACTTTAAAAGGTGAGCCTTCAGGGTCATTCAAGCAAGACCAAATTAGTCCAAAGAGGCTGGGCCTTTACATAGCAAGACTGTTTAAATTACGGAATCAGACTGACTCCACTGGATGGGGCTGGATGTGTTTTATCACCATGACCCTTCAAGGCGGGGCTCCTGAATGAGATCAGATCAGCTTCAGAGAAAATCAACTCTGTATCTTCTGTGCACAGCCAAGTTGTCAGGGCCACCACACAAGGCCACGAAGGCCATGGCAGCTTGTGAACAGCGCCACTGGGGTTTTGCAATGTGGGGGCGGGGGGTGGGCCCCCACTCCCTCCCAAAGTCCCTTCTTGATGAAGTGGCCACAGAGGCAGGAGGCAGAGAGAGCCCTCGTCACCATCACAGAGGCCAGGCTCGAGCAGACAGGATAACTGGGGGATCCTGCACGCAGGTAGCTGCGAAACAGCACCCAGGCTCCTGACGCCTGGCTGTGCGGCTGCCCCGGGAGCCTGGGAGGTCTGCCTGCTGGTCACTCTCCTGCCTCCCACTAGTAACGGTCAACAGAGAGAATCTGTTTCTAGCAACCAACAGAGATCCAGAGGGCCGGCGTGTGGCCGTCCTTGGACAGCTGCCCTGAGCCACTCCAGCAGCCAGTCTGCACGGACTAGGGTCTACACTGGCAGATGGAAGCGTCTTGTCCCTGGCAGCTCAAGAGAAGGGTCTCTCCTTGCACAGGCGTGTCAGGACTCTATGGTGTGGCTGCTGGTGTCCAGAGGCTGATGGACTGACTCAAAGGGGTCTCTGACCACCTGGCCCCCCGGGGACTCAGCCTTCCCGAGCGCTTGCAGCATGTCTGGGCTGCAGCTCCCAATGGACACGTGGTGGACACTTCAAGGTCTGATCGGTTCTCTTTACGTGGAAAGAGAGGGCTTGAGAAGGCTGTAAGCTGGGCCCACGTGCCACCTTTGAAGGTTAGAAAGAATACGAACTCTAACAGCAGACAGGCCTGGGCCTAAATCCCAGTACCACCACTTACTAGGTACGTATCATAGATACTTTGGACCAGTTCATTAGCTTTTTGGAACTTGCATTCTGTAAAAATGGAGAATAACCATGCCTACTTCTCTGGGCAGTTTCAATCCTCTCGGTCTCCCTCAGAGTGTCCTGCACACCTAGCCAATGGCCATTTGTTGGGAAAGTGACTGGCTTTTGGAGGGGGAGTGAGGAGGGAGTGAAGTGACAACTTTAGAACTATCATGTGACTCTCCCATCTGGGTGTTCCCTGGGAGCAGTGGGAAAGGGAGGTGTGGCAGATGCACGGCAGCCATTCCCACCCATTTTCACCCACCGCCACTGCAGGAGGGACACTCACTGTCCCAGCATCCCCCACACTTAGGAGAACCCTATGACCCAGTTCTGTGGGAGACTCCTGGGAAAGTTTTTTTCTCATTAATATAAAAGGAGGGAGACATAAGAAAGGCTCTTCCTTGAGAAACTGGCTGATGCACTGCTTCCAGCCTTTGTCTGCATTCGAGACTGTAAAGCCTGGAGCTGTGGCAGCCATATTGCGCCCATGAGGTGATGAGCCCACGATCAAAAGCTAACATGATGAACAGGCAGACCAGCAGGACAGAAAATTCCTGGGTTCTTAACGACACTGCTGAGCCACAAAACCAGCCCAAGACCTCCTCCCTTCAGGCCTCTGGCTCAATAGACCATAAATATGCTGCCGTCATTCTTGATTCACTGCCTTTGTCACCTGCGGCCCAAATCATCCCAACTGACAGGGATGACGCAGAAAGGGCGGGGCGGCAGATGTCTCGGTCTTTGGCCCGGCGCCCATGACCTGCCTCCGTGTGGTCGGTCTCAGAGGCTCCGCCCCCACAGACAAGGCCTAGCGTGCGGGAGGAGGCGGAGCTGCCAACAGCCCCACCCCTGCCCGCGCCCGAGGGCAAAGGAACCGATCCTGCTCTCCCTTCCAGGGTCTCTCCTCTCTCAGCCGATGCAGCTGCCTCTGCTGCTGTGTGGTTGCGGGAAGGCTGCGCAGCTCGGGGGGGGGGGGCAACAGCGAGACCACGGGGGAGGGAGAGACACTCAGTGCACACAGCCCGTTGCTGCACAGCCCCCCACAGGGCACCTTCCTGGTCCAGCAACACCAGGAAGACTTGAAAGGAAATGTGCCGCCACCCTCCTTTATTCCTTAATTCCACTGAATGCTGTCATCACCCCAGAAACGGTGAGGAAGAGGGGTGGGGATGAAAATGAGGGGACGCATGCAAGACACGTGGCCTAGTGCCTGGCGGGTGATGAGCGAACGCCTCCTGCAGGGCAGGGCGCCTCTGACGGGCGCCTCCCACCGCCCTACGGGATTCTTGGTTTTTGAAGTATTTTCTCCTTTCTCTCGTGGTATTCACACACACACGCACATGCACGCATGTGCACTCACGCATGCATGCACACACGCATGCACACACGCACATGCACACACATGCACAGGCACGGCTGCCTCAAGACCCCAGCCTCCCTGACTCCACGGTGAGTTGGGGGCACAGTGACAGGGTCAGGGTTCTCAGTGACACCATCTTCAGCCCCATCCCCACCTTCCTGATCTGATCCCCAAGAGGCTGCTCCTACAGCTGACCCTTCTGCTGGCCGCCAGTCCCCCCACCCCCGTCCACTTCACAAACACCTTACACGGCCCTGAAGTTGCTGGGCCTGATGCGTATGGAGAACGCTCAGTCCTTCCACACACATCACTCCATCCCAGGCCTGGTCCCAGGCTGGGTTCTTCGCTTCAAATCTTCCTGGTCACTAGGAAAATCACAGCTGTGGTTCCCTGAATGCCAGCCGATTAGCAGCATCTGGCCCCTGCAGACTCATTGCTGCAGGTACAGTCTCTCTCCGACCCTTTCCATGGGGTCAGGGCCACCGCAGCCCGCAGGGAACACACTCAAGGGTGCCTCTTCCTCTGGGCAGATGCCGCTCCAGGCCAGAGCCCACAGCTCGACGAGTGGAACACGGGCTGCTCCCCTGCCAGGTGCCCTTGTGCAGGGCACAACTCACACAACTGTCCATGGCGGCCACGTGTGGAGCCTTTCCAACGACCCTCCTGTGCTTCTGACCTAGCTGCTATTCTCAGACACTGACCACTCCAGAACTCCCAGCGTGGAGCAGCCCAGCCAGGGGCAACAACTTCGCACAACACCAAGACCTAACATGTGCCCCAGCACAATCCCGTGGCTTGCCCAGCACTCCCCGAGGGCTCCCCGCCGGGCTCCCCTCTGCTGGCACAAGTCACAGCACCTCTGCTGCCCAGCTCCAGTGCATTCCTCCCTGTTCTGTCTGGAGAATCACACAGGGGTCCTCCCTTCTGTGTTAGCATTCTGCCAGGACCAGAGGACTCTGCTACCACAAATAGGACTCTGGGCCCTGTTTGCAGGTCAAGTGGGGGGTTTGCAAGACAGCAGTGTTTCCTCATGGGTCTGAGGTGAGGATTAAGGCAGAAAATGCATGTGAAATGCTTAGACACCACCTGGCACACCTACATGCTCAACACACGCAGCCCCTGGGAAGCCCTTTGACTCAGCACAGCAAGTCCCCGTTTCTTTGCGTATCGTGTGGATGAGCCATATGTTGCACGTTTTCAAATTGGACACAACGTACAGGACCTGCCATGTGACAGGCACGGTAGATCTGAGCACGTCACAGGGTAGTGCGCTTCATCCGCGCAGCGCTCCAGTGGGGCAGGTGCCACTGCCTTCCCCTGATGATGGGGGGACTGAGGCCCAGGGGGTAAGTGACCTGCCCAAGGTCCCCGGGCAGGAGGCAGAGCAGGGGCGCAAACCCAGGCCTTCCAGCTGCACTGGGGGTGTGTGCATGACAGGCAGGCTCCGGCTCCGGCGGCCGCTGTGGGAACAAGATGAGACAATGCACGCTTGGCACGCAGAGGGCTCTCAGTACACGGCCATTATGCTAATGCACCACTACTGGGGAGTGTTCCCCATCAGTACTGCTAACACATGCAAAGAGCCCACCCAGGCCAGGCTGCCCTTTCTCCTTCCTGCCTCCCTCCGGTGGTGATGTTGCTGTGCTCCGGGGGTGGGGGGGGGTGGGATTCTTGGCACTCTACAGAGGGTTTCCAGTTTGGGGGGAGGGAGAGGAGACTTAGGGCACAAAGGAGAGCGTGAATAACCCCCTCAGCACAGAGCCTCCTCTAACTGGTGTTACCTCAGACCCCGTAGATCAAGCTGGCTGTGAAGAAGGGAGGCTGGGGGCTGGGGTTCAGCAGGGAGGGTCTGGGGCAGAGAGGAAGTCATCCCGAGAGCCTGGAGTTTGTGGTCCACTCACCTGACACTACAGCCCTGGGACAGAACCCCTGGGAG